GTAGATAAAGTCTTTAGATTTTTTGAAGTTTTGTTTAAATATTTTCCTGAGGGATCTTGTTTTAGTTATACTTATAATATTAAAATTGTTAGAAAGGCAGTAATTTTCTCAGACTTGCTTAAGATCTATATTATATCCTCTAACATTGTAGATATTTATAGTTAAGTTAAGAGGTTAATCTTGGTTGTTAGTTAAATATTTAGCAGTTTGATGTTTTGAAATAGATAAGGTAGAGGTAATAGATGATATAGTTGGTAGGCTTGGTTTAGATCTCAATGGGATATTATCTGGGTTATATATCATAGAAAAAATATGATAGTTTGGTAGTATATTAGGATCATTGGGTAAGTATACATATGCTTTAGTCCTGTCATTATTAACTATAATTAGAAGATAACATGCAAAATGCTTAGTATTGTTTTGTGTTAAGTGTTGTCTAAATAAATTAATAGTTTGTAGTTCTCTTAATAAAAGTAGTTGATAGTAGTTAAGATATCTGTTGTAGTATATATCCAAATCATCAAAGTCTAGTGATATTTGATAATAATTTGGATAAGATTTCTTCTGTAAAGATGCTCACTATTTTATGCTTGGCTCTTATAGCTGTGAAAGATTCTATAGTCTGCTATGTACGTTTGGTCTAACCATCATTATACTGGTCCTCCACATAGTATTTAAAATATTTAATTATAGTAATATTTTAAACTATATCAAATGCTTTAATAATCAAAACTTATTAGAAACTAGTATTTAAATCAAATTTTAATTACAAAATAATTTTTGATTCTTCTTCTAGTATTTTATTATATTCAAATCTAATAATTGATACCCTTAATAAATTTATTATTAATTTCAAAATTATTTAATTCTTAAACATCTTGAGTTATTTATTTTATATAATTTTTATTTTTAATATTATATACTATTATAGACTAAATTTTATTAAAATCTATTTTATCTTCTTATACTAAATATACTATTTTTAAAAAATAACATATATATTACTATATATTGCTTTTAAAACAATTAATATAATTTAATAATTCATGTCTTTTTAATTAAAAATATATTTTCAAACTATTTAAAAAAACTAATATAGTTTTTAACTCTAAAAATATAGTTAGAAAGGTTACAAAAATCAAATAATTTTTTAGATAAGAAAGTAAAAATTTAAAATTATATACTGTATAAAAATATGGGTTAAATAATTTTATGCGACTGCACAATTGTGTACCCTTAATATATATTAATATATTTACTTTAATAATTAACCAAATTAATATATTTCTGGTATTGTATTATAAAAATTAATACTTTATCCCAATATCACATAATCAGTGTATATTTAGAATCTTTTCTAACATCAAACTACACCAAGAGCACCTTCAGATTTTCTATGAAATCACATGATATAATGTACTATAAAAATCAAAACAATCGAATAAACGAAACATTAAAGTAATAAAACCTTGACATTAGATTAGCATTAGGGTAAAATTAGAGCATGGTTTATACTAAAATTTGATGAGGAATTTTTTTGTTAGAATATAAAAGGGGTTTCCTATGTAGATTTTCTAGTTATAAGTGATTTTTGATAAAACAAATGTTTGTTTTGAATTTCCTGATTGTGCTATATTAAACCTGATCTTGACATCTAATTGACTGCATAGAATTTTTTGAAGGTGTTCTTGGTGTAGTACCAGCATCACTGACTAATAACAAAATTCTTTAAGTTTGTTTAGAGTTTAAGTTTATATCAAGTCTGAGCTTCCTCTTTCTCCTTCTATAACTAATGGTAGCTAGTCTTAAATTAGTTTATAAATAGAAAATTAAGAGGTGTTTAGCTACACTTAGATGGTTATACAAGATATAATAAATAGCTTAAAATTAATATCATCTTGATACAAATTTGTAACTAATCTTATCATATATACAGCAAATTCAAAAAAAAAAAAAAAAAAAAGGGTTATATCAAGTTAAACCTGACTTATATCAAATTGATCAATTAAAAACCTAGCTGGTATCAACATAATTCTAGTCTGCTCTAACTCTAAAATTTTGCTAAAGATTAATTTGATCTAGGTCAAGTTTAACTTGACCTAAAAACTAACTTGACTCGTAACATATATATAACAAGAATGATCTGTGAAATAAATATATAACAAGAATGATTTGTATAATAAATATATAACAAGAGTGATTGTAAAATAAATGCAAATATATTATATATTACAATATCAAATTTTCAATAACTACATTAAACAATAGACTTAAACTATTATACAAAATAAATTAATCTGTATATATAGAAACAACTTATTTGTCTAATTGTTATTATCGATTACATATTTAATTCTTTTTTGGGCATTTGGGTCTGTAATGACCATATTCATCACAATTATCACACTGATTTCGACGTTTATTCGATTTTAACTCTTCTGATCGTTTGATTCATTTAGAGCTTTTTGGACATCCTTTTGCTTTATGTTTTGGTGGATTTTGAAAAGGCATACTAGCTGACTGATTATTTTCCTTTTTCTATTATCATCATACAAGTCATCACTAATATTATTGTTTTCTAATTCATTCTTTTGAATATTAGCTAATAACTCTTGCAGTTTATTAAGAATATCTTGTCTATGAAATTAAACAGCCTTTTGTGTAATAGATCGTGCAACATCCCATAATTCTCCATATAATTTTCTTTCATCAATAACATCATATCTTTCTTCTTGAATATTAATTAAAGATATAAACAATCTGTTAATATTGCAATTTGCTAGTTTTGCAGGTTGTTGATAATCTTTATTAAATTTTTTAGTGACATAATAAGGTTCTTTTTGCACATTGCAATAAATATCTTTATACCATCTATTATAAATATGTATAATATGAAATGCAGCTACACTACTATATAACATTACTTGAAAAAAATGACAATATACTATCTCATGGCTTACAAGTCCCAAACAAGAACAAATATATATCATATCAGAAAGAAGAATAACAAAATGACAGTATCTTGAAGATGTAATCATATGAATAGCCTAAATTTCTGCTATTATACTGGTATCTACATTTTTCAATATATTATTTACTAAAATTTGCATTAGATCTTCATCATCCTTAATAAACTCAGAAGTTTCTAAATCAAACTTTAAATATATAAATCACATTAGTATATATATAGAAATGTTTAGAATTAATTTTTATTTAAAATTTAATTCTAATATCACAATCATATATATTGTATACTACTAACTAAAGTATTCTCTTGTCATAATACCCTTATAAAAAACCTGAATAGTATTTCTAGCATATAGTAATAATACAAGTTATTACCTCTTGATATCTAATAATATCTTCTTTCATAATAGAAATAGCTTGGTAATTTAAACAGCTTTTAATTTTAGCACACTGAACTTCCAGCATTGCAGGTGTAAAAAAACGGCTTAAAGTTTCATCAATATCAGAAAATAGCATTTGTGGAAGTGTAATAGAAGGTAGTTGGGTTTTCTAATAAATGTATGTTGCCTTTTTACTTTCTTCAATTATATATGATTCTAAAACTTTAGCAAGCTCGAGAAGACTAATATTAGAATTTAAAATTAATTGTTTTATTTGGGCATTATAACTCTTAACTCATAATGTTGTTTGAATGCTGGCAGTAAAAACTCTTGCTATGTATGCACATGCTTATACTTTTTTTGATGAATATAATGTTTATAAATACTTAACTACTCTAGTTTCATTGTACTTTTCAATTAATAGTGTCCATTTATGTTCAAAAATTTCTGGAATAAGAGCATTTCGAGCTGCATAAAAATCCTTAATAAATACATGATATTGTTAATCTAGCTGGGCTTCTAGGTTTCAAAGAAGATTTTGTGAAATGTGGAAAATACAATACATAGTATATGATTTCTCATATTTTTCAGAAATTGCAAGATCTAATGCTGGATCTGTATCAGTCATAACAACTAAAAGTACATAACTATCTGTAGCCTTTTTAGTTTGACACAAAACCCACTGATAAGAATCAGCTAATTCATTATCCATAAATGCACATCCAACTAGCCGAGAGAACCCATGATTATCAATATATAAGAAAAGGCAAAGTGCCAAATCATAGCGATTTGTTTTTGCTGTATTATCACACAACACAATTTCACTGAATTTTATCCAAAAAATAATTTGTTCAGAAGACATCCAAAATAATCTCCAAAGGCTATACGTTTCTCTATCCTAATCAACTGCAATATACCAATTTGGATTATTATCTTTTGTTTCAGCAAATCTTCATATAGTAATGCTGCATCATTTGAAATGTTTTTCCATCTTTCATAATAAAACTTAGTTACTACTTTATAAATTTCAAATAAATAAATCTCACAATCGGGAAATTCTTTTTTCATAGCTTTCTGAATTTGTAATAGTTTCAATTTAATTACATTCATATAAAACTCTACTTGTTCAACCATTTTTTTTGTAAATTTATTATCATTAAAAAATGTTACTCTATCATATGATAAATCATGATTATGCTTATCTTTCAGAGTAGTAATATAAATATTCTTGTGAATATTATTCTTTACAGGTTGTGACAAATTTACATGCCATTTACAATCAATACATTTAGTGGTTATCGCATTAGTCTGTTTCTTGCTTTTAGGTTCGTATTTATTACTGTGTTCACAAAGCATTGTTCATTTTCATATATCTCCTTCAGGAGTTTTCTCAACCTGGTTTTTTCTTAGTTTAAACCCTTTTTGTCAAGCATATATTTTCATTGCCTCAAGTGCTTTATCCCAACTTCAATAAATCTTTTCTATATATAACTGTTCTTCAGACATTGTATCTTCATTTTCATAACTAACAACTACAGAATTGTTATTCACAAAATCAGCATTCACAGAATCATTATTCACAGAATCACCATTCACAGAATTATTATTCACAGAATGATTGCTTAAAGAATCATCGTTTACAGAATGATTGTTTACAGAATCATCACTTACAAAATCATCATTTACAGAATCATTATTTACTGAATGTGCATTAATATTATTTGCCATCTATTTTGCAAAAATAATTGTTAGTTATTGAGAATAAGTAATATACAAGTAACTTATAGTAAGTTTTTACTCACATTTATGTATATACTTTTTTTTAAAAGTATAACTTTTGTTGGTCACTAGGTTTATTATTTGCTTTAACCTTCATTAACTGCCAGGTTTATTACTCTGTTACTATATATGCCTGCCTTTAATATCTTTTAGTTAATATTTGATTACTAAATTCAGAGTTTAAGATATATTTATTTTACAACTGCTATTTATCTTTTCGTAATCATACAGTTACCAGATTTTGTTTGTTGCTTATTACTCTGTTCCTGTATGTACCTGCCTTTAATATCATTTGGTTAATGTTTAATCACTGAAATCAGAGGTTAAGATGCATTAATTTTACAAGTAAAATTACCTTTTATAACTATGCAATTACTAAGTTTTATTGGTCACTTATTATCTAGT